ACATTAATCGCAGTGGAGCACACAAGAAATACATATGACTATTACTATAGCTATGCGTACGCAGCCCTATCTATTTGCATATTTAAATAACTCGTTTGTGTTGATCAATGAAAATAAACTATTTATAATGATGAAACAAATCGCCAAAGGTCTTTTACTGTCAATTTACTGCAATTCAATATTTGCCGACGCGATGGGATGAATCATCATACTATTATATCAGCAAAGTGCAACTGAAATTGTGAGTTAATCTATTACACAGCTTTTTCAATAAATTACATCACCTTTGCACGAGCTTTTCACATATTACAGAATGAGTAATTAAATATCAGCCTTCAAACCTTTCAATTTTCCCTGAACACTTGGCGAAATGCATTAAAACTTCAGGTTTGAGTGGTAAAGAGATTATTTATTCTTAATGACTTTGTTGCCTTGTATTTATACAACGGAAAAAGTTTTGAAAATTTAAATTTATTTAGAATAATATCGTGTTACTTTTCGATTCTTTGTTATCATTATTCGAAATACAGTATAAGTATAATAATTAAATATTCTCTGTCTTCATAATAAATCCTTAAACATCACATGAAAAGTTTTTCTGTTGGGTTTTCCATCTTTTTTTTATAAGTTTTAAACACTTTCCTTCCGTTCTTTGGTATCATTTTCATATAGGGAAATCGAATATTTTCCGCTTTTTTCGTTAGCCTAGGAAAAACGTATCTAGTCCACAAAAGTTATAGACTTAGATCAAGACCTGTTTATAAATTTCGTTAATATATAGGTATATGTAATAACTTAATAATAGTAAGTACCATATGTTGTGGTTGTTGAGGGCTTGGTATTTGGGATTCGGTTGTAAATACGTGTAAATACAGAATTTCATTTGGTGTAAGACGATTTCTCACTTTCTGGTTGTATAAACTCGCCAGCCTTGCCTTGAAGATTAGCGTTTGCGATATAGGTAAAGAGGTCTGTATATATCGTTTAACTATATAATATATCGCTTTTCTTGTGGGTCTGTGTGTGTGTGTGAGTTTCTTTTTTTTTTCGTTTGGTTTGAGAGTGCATCTGTAAATTGTAGGTACTTATAAACTAGCTACAACACAACACATGCCACGCCATGTAAAATTGTAGGGTATCGTGTTCGAATTTTGGTGGCTGAAAAAATCCATCAAAATGCTAAATCTTCTAACTAAGTTTCCTTTCGGGTCGTTACTTCGTTACATCGCTTGCTCGTTTTTCTTTGGCATTATCTAAGAGAGGTCAAGAGTGTTTTTTTTTTTTTTCGTTTTTGGAAAACGTTGATTTGGCCATAAACTTTTTTGGTAGATTTGTTAGCTTCGGTTGGGTTCTGTTTATCGTGTGAGAGTGTTTTCTTGTCTGTGGTTTGAGTTTTCGTGTAAAAAGGTACATGATAAGATTGTTTCACGACTGATCGATCCCAAGCTCCTTGACCCTACGTCGTCTGACCTTGTGTGGAATGGCCAGCCGAAGATATCGCAGGTGTGGTACTGGTGGTTCCGACAGCCGGCACTCCGGATGCGGATGTGCTCTGCTCCAGGCTCCACGGATGCACCATATCGTAGTACCGGCGATAGTCGTAGTCAAAGAGCTCGAAATCGATGCGATATATCTTGAGCAATTGGTCCAACGTTGAGCGGTCGAGATCGGCGAAGTATCGCTCGACCAGGGCCTCGGATTTAATCCCACTTCGCGCTTGGTTGCCAATCTTGCGCTGCTTTCGCTGCGGCAGCTTGCCCAGTCCCAGGAGCAGCGATTCCAGGCCCGCCTGCCGTATTATGAACTCCGAGTCCCTCTGGAACGTCTCCGTCTTGCCAATGATGGTGAAGTTAACGCTGCAGGGCGTGCAGAAGCTATAGACTGGCGCCCAGTGCTCGTCGAATCTCTTGCCCGCCGCATGCTCGGCGATCAGGAAGCGCACGAACTCCTCGAAGGTGGGTCCACATCGCGGCCAGGGACCGCCCAGATTCCGCTGCCTGTAGCGATGCACGATCTTGTTGCCCAGCGCCTTGTAGAAGGTGTTCTTGTTGCCCTCCAGCTTGTTGCGATAGGCACTCAGGATCCGCTCGAAGGGATCGCGCACGAAAAGGAAGGACAGGGCGCTGGGCAGCAGCTCCATCAGTTCGCCCAGTTCCGGGCGGGGAAAACGCTTCCTGGCCAACTCCAGTGGCTGCGTCTCCGTTCGCTGCAGATACTTCACATCGTAGCCAGCTGAAAATCCATATTACAAAATTACAAAATACTCTTAGGAGGAATATTGGACCAAGTCAATCAAACTCCATGCCAAGAAAACAAAGCGTAAGTGTAAGAGATCATATTTTACATTTTAATTATATACATTTTAATTATAACTCACCTAGTATATTAAAGTAATACATCCACGTACTACTGGCCGCCTTGAAGACGTTGCACCTAAAAGTAAACCGAAAAGGGTTCAGAAAAAGGAAACAAACTACAGACAGGATGCCACCAACCAGACGAGATTGTTGTGGCCAGGTGAGACGAAGAACTCCCAGGGATTCGGTGGGTACTTTTCCTGCAGCTTATACCGATCGCAGACGGCGGCCAGATGCTCGCTCCTCCTCTGCAGCTCCCGCTCCGTGCGACTGTGCAGCTCCTCGGAGTACTCATAGACGGGATTCAAGGTGGTGGCCGGCGGCAGCGGCGGCGGAGGAGCTGCTGCCAGGGCGGATGAGCTGCCTGCACTGGCATTCCCCCCAGCAATGGCCTTTCCCTGCTCCAGCTGCTTGGCCAAAATCCTCTGGCGCTGCAGCTGCTGCCGCTTCAGCTTGAGCTGCTGCTTCGAGGGCTCCGAATCCGCCTCCAGTTCCGCGGCCGTGGCCCGCTCCCGGTGCTCGTAGGCATTGAGGGATTCGCGGAAGAGGAAGGCGAAGTAGCACAGGCCCACCAGGACACAGGCGCCTATCTTCAGATAGGTCTGCAGGCGTCGTCCATAGCGCAGGCGGATGAGCATCTTGCGAATCTACCAAGGATTCCTGCAGCGATCTCGCTGCATGATCCACGGATAGGCGGTGGTTTCTAGAATGTTTGGAGCTATTATTATGCCTCGGTATTAGGATGTTCAAAAACTTGAATCTTTTATTATCTCTTATCATAAGTTAAAGCTTTGAAGGGTTCAATCATATATTATATATAATATAATGGTATGATATATAAGATATGATATATGATATATGTAGGTTTAAGCCACAGATGAGTATACTTATTGATATACCCCCTTCCCGTAAGTACAATCGTAGAGTCCGTTTCGGATTCTGTTTTGGCCAAGTAGCGTGCATTAATTTTCCAGCCCTCCTCCTCATTGGCGCCTTTGGGCAGGCGACACTTGTTGGTGTGTACACACCAAACGACACCCTCTGCCACATACATACGCACATGCAAGCATTCGGGCCAACAAACAGGCCAACACACACATTCCGACTTGGCAAACTACGTCATCGTGGAACCAACACAGACGCACTTGAGCGAATGAAAGTCTCGGAAAGTAGGACGTCATCCTTAAGCGTCAACATGGCCAGTGCAATTGCTGTTGCTGCAAGTTGCCTTCGCTGCTGCAACGCCAGTTGCTGGCTAATGTTGCCATGGGGTCACTTGTGGCCAGGACTGGGAATTGGCCGCTGATAGCTGCGCTGGCACGAAGGCCCAAAGTATTCACGGCACCTCGGAGACCACTTGGCCACGCAGTTAAAGCTGAACTATCTGGTAGTTGGCACATCTGTGCGTTTATTTCTGGCTGTGTCCGGGTAGTAATCCCCCTGTAATCCTTGTGCAGGATATGGCTAAACTTACTTTGAAGCGCGGCGGGCGTTGAAATATTTATCCTTTGCTTTTGGGGGAGCTCCCTGTGTATACTGAAAGCCTACGGCTGCCCGCCTCTCCGCCAGCCCCCTCCTTCACCTGGGGCCGCTCTGTTACGTGTTGCTCGTGGCTCCGGGGAATCCTGCTGCCTGCTCCGCTTCTGCCGTCCTGCTCGCGGCGGCCACTCGCTCTCAACTGCCAGTCGGCGGATGGCCGCAGCTGCGGGTCCCTGGTGTGCCGAGCCAGCTTTCCTCTCCTCGGAAGCCGACAATCCTCGCCAGGCGCCGGCGCAGGGAGAGCGCACCCACTGGGGGACACTCTCTGGAGTTGGGAACGCTGCTCACTGGCCACCGGGAAAAATCACAGGACCTGCTGGAATCATCAACGGATGATTTTGGGTAATTTGAAATAATTTCAAATTGATCAAACGACACAGCAAATAATACGTAAAATATTGGTAACAGAGTTACAACTTCCAATTGTTTAATTTAAATGAAAATATTTATCAGTTTCTCACATTACTGTTCAACTATATATTCTTCTGAATCCGAGTTTTAAGGTAGCTTTTAAAAAAATGAGTTTTCAAAAACTCAGCTTCCAATTCCCGGAAATTCCAAAAACGCCATTCGTTTATTTTTTGTGTATATTAAATCTTTGTATTTTTTTCTTTTTCTATAAATATTTTACTTTAAAGTACAAACAAATTAATAATAAACTTCTAATACTACGTTTTAAGACACTTTCGTTTTTTGTTGTTGTTGTTCATCTTGTGTGGTTTGTTTTAAATATTTAAATATATCATTTATTTGTTTATGTGTGTTGTTTGTTGCCTGTTTGTTTACGAAGCGGTATATAAATTATTTATACGTTCTATACAACATTTCCATTAACGTGTTTTCTGTGCTATCGGGCTTATTGCAGTTGGTTGTGTTGTGGCTGTCCAAAGTGTTTAAACAAGGTCCACTAAATATGCTTCAGTTTTCGACGGGTTCGCCTTTTGTGTTTATCAAGGGGCCGTGGATGGTGTGGTATGCAATTATGGATTCGGGTTCTATATACGTTAGTTTAGCGGTTCTATATGAATATATGCAAAGTTATGCTAGAGGGTTGGGTTTTACATACGCTTATGCTTTGTTTTGCCTTGCTTTAAAGTAAACATGTACAAAGTATCAAAAGAATTATTTTATGTAGCAATCATACAATATATATATAAGGTAATAATAATATTGAACAATATATAATGTTGTTTTTTGTGTGTTTGTCTAGCGCTTTGCCTTTGCTTTGCTTTGCTTCCATTACTTTACTCATTGTTTTCCCCTATTTGTTCAAGTTCAAATAACATTTAGCAAAAATAGAGCCTGCCTTATATACAATACAACTTTTTGTTTGTGTGGTTTGTTTTTCACGATATCCCATTTTCTTATGTGTTTTGCGTATGCAAAATATATAACGTTATATAGTTCTTTTCACTTTGCAAAACGACAGATACTAGACGACTGATTCTCAATATTCTCAATATTCTCCACTCATTTCTCGTTATATTTTTCGATCTGTTTTTTGTATTTTTTTTTTTTCGTTTTTGTTTTTTGTAGGTTTTTGTGTTTTCACTTTTCTGGTGCTTGGCCTTTTTACATTTTTGACTAACTTATTGCATAGGTTTCCATGTGCATATTGGTAAAGAATTCGCGTTAAGATTACTGTCCTTAGGCTAGAGCATTTAAAACTAAAAAACAAATTTTCGAAACAACGCAAGCTTACGGAAACTAATACGCTATATATCTGTATGTACTGTACTGTATTCGTATGTTAAAGGTTACAAAAATATAAAACCTAATGTAAACGTGTGGTCTGCTCTGATCTGCTCGATCCAACGGATCAGCTTCTTATAGACTTTCGACTGGGCGCAGCGCTTAAAAGTAGGACAACCTAAACCTAGAAATGTGTTCATGTTGCATCGTGAAGTATTCAAATATTTACAGAGCGGTCCATGGAAATAAGATTTCTCTTGTTTGTTTCAAATTTCAAATAAAACTATGCATGCGTGAGAGTTTGTAGATGTTTTGCAGTTTCGGCCAACTATACTATGTTAGTGTTTACGGGAGCTTCTCGAATAAGTTACTCAACTAATTTGTTCAAATTTCATCTTCTGAGCTATACATTAAATTGCCTGTTTCACATGACTAGCAAATCATTTCCAATGGGTGCATTTTTGGGGAGTAATAGCAGTGCCAGATGAGGGCGGTGGCGGCGGATAAGCTCGGACTGAGGAGGCGGAAAACAAAGTGTAAACAAAGGCGTAAATCGGCGCTTGCAACCGTCCGTTTGCGTTGTATGTATGGGTGTGTTTGTGTGTGTGCATGTGTGTATGTGTATGTGTGTGTGAGAGAGTGTGTCTGGGTGTGATGTTGCTCGCTATGAGACGCAACATTATTGCAACTTTTGGCTACCACTAACTATACAAAATAATCCTCAACGGAAACTAGGACTAAGAACTACAAACGTAAGCGTTCGGTATCAGTGCGTGTGATATATACAAGTAGCCGTCCGTAATCCTACTTCACTACGCCAGCTGCGGTGAGCTGCTGCTGGCGGAGCGCTGCTCATCCGCCGTTGTCGCCTCACTGGCGAACTCTTGAAAACTCAATCCCAGATCGTTGCTGAGCTGTACGATGTTGAGCACGTCGCCGGCGTCGCGCCATGCCTGTTGGTGTTTAGTCGCCATGCCGCTGACGCCTCCTCCTCGTGCACTATCACTGTCGTCCTCCTCGCTGAGGATGTTGTTCAGGCACAGGTTAAACTCATCGTAGTCGACAAAGCTGGCGCAGTCTAGGGCCGTGGCGTTGGCCAACTCCGGCATCAGCACCTCATCCACCTCAACGTCCGCGGCACTGCTGCTACTGTGGTAAGACAGCAAATGATCGGCCTCCTCCATGTAACCGCCGGCTGCTCGCGCCAGATTCTCATATTCGGCCATCTCATCACCGTCCTCGTCCTGCGCCTGGGCTAAAGGAAAGCTGCTGCTGCTGATCTCCAGCTGTTGCTGCTGCTGCTGATGCGGCTGCTGTTGCTGCTCAAAGTCTTCGAATAGCTCCAGCAGATCGTCTTCGTGTGCATCGCTCGGATGGTTTAAGCCTTTAGCCAAGGCGCAAAACTCTGGTCACTTGTAATCACGCGACGTTCTTCTCCGGCGTCCCTCGGTCAACATGGACTCGCCAATGACTGCAAAACGGAGTACGATTAGCTCAGTTGAGCCAAGATTATTCAATATATTCTCACCTGCACTGCGGGTCTTTCGCCTGGCTTCCGCGACACTTTCCACACTGCCGGCACTGTTGGCACCAACTGCTGCTCCCGCCTTGCCAGGTGTTCCCTTCGGCTCTGCCGCGGCGGCGGCTGCTGCAGCAGCTGCGGCTGCATTGCTGCGACTATAGATGATCTTGTTGGCTGCCGCACTGGCTCGCACGCTTCTCCGGGTGCCGATCTTCTCGTCCGTGGGCGAGCTGGCCGAGTTGTTATTGGTGGTGCTGGCAGCCGCTGCGGTGGCTCCCCGTGTTGCATGCACCACACTCGTGCCGCTGTTAACTTGGCTGGTGGTCACCACAGCACCGCCTGGCATTGTTGGCGTGGCCGCTGAGGCGGGCACAGCACTGGGATTGTTGGGTGTGCTGCTGTTGTGATTGTTGTTCGCAGCGGTGGTGGGACCAACTGGCGCTTGAGCTTTTCCCGATCGCGGTGTTCCAAGGGCAGGTGCGGAAGAGGGAGCATGGTTGCCGACCGTTTCTGTTGGAAATAAAATCATTGATTATTCAAAAGACACTTTCTCTTAGCGGTTTGAATTTGCAATTTGCTAAGCACCAAGATTATTGCCAAATCAAGATAAAAGGATCAAAGTTCACTTACTGTTCTGCGGTGGTTGTAGCTGCTGTGCATTTCGTCGCGTCACGTGCTTCTCTACTCCTGCTGCTGCTGCGGCATCGGCAGCTTCGACCTGGGCTTGTTTGGAGTTGCGCACCTTGCCGGCCACCTCGATCAGCGGCTCATCAGAATCGGAGGACTCGATTTCAACCTTCTTCGGCAATCCCGCGCCGGCATTGTGATCTGCAGCTGTTTCTGCTGCGTTGTTATTGGAGGTGCCGGTGCTCACCCTCGGCCGCTTTATGTTGTTCTCGCCCAAGTCGGCACCATCGTTACTGCTGCCACACTCGGATTCCTGGCGCCTTCGCTTGTTGTTATTGTTGTTGTGGTTGGGAGTTGGTGTGACCACGCGAGGACTGGCGGTGGAGGAGGCGCGGGATAGACTCTTGACGGTGGTAGGCGTGTTGGCTGCACTTGCCGCTGGGGCTGGAACTCCCGTGACAGTTGTGGGATCAGGACTTGCTTTTGGCGCATCCAGGGGACTCTCCAGGCGACTGCTGGCCCGCGTCCTTATTCTCGGCGTCTCACCGTCTACCTGAGCAGGTATTTCAATAGAAATGGGTTGCAGTGATGCTGAAGAAGCCTCGCTCTGAGCCTTTTCCTGCAACTTCTCCTCCGACTTGGGCTCGACTTTCGGTTCCACCTTTACCTCCACCACTTTGGCTTCCACTTTAAGGGCGCTGGCTATCGGTTTAATCGCCGGCTCCTTCTTAATTGTAAGCAGCGGTGGCATCTCGTCCAGCTTCACCTTGATCGTCGGTGGCTTGCTCTCTGTGAGTTTCTTGATGAGATCATCGTGTTCGAGTATATGATGTTCGCCGTTCAACTTGATGCTACCTATGCTACTGGTGTTCGTGGAGGCTGTGGTCACAACGGTTGCAACTGTCGCTGCTGGCAGTGAGCTCTCCAGGCTATTCAGGAAACTACCACCCGCAGCACTGGCACATTCGCTTGTCTCCTTGATCATCGATGAAACAATGTCCTCGAGATCATCGGGAAAGTCACCCTCCATCTTCGCCAGAGCCTTCTCGATCTCATCGTCAGCCTGCTGCTTTTGCTGCTGTTGCAGGGAACTGGATACGGTTAATGATGTCGCTACAGCTGTCGTTGTTCCTGCTGGCGTTGAGCTGGGAGTGATCACTGGTGCTATCACCGCCGCGGATGTGGTTGTGGCGACTGCGCTCGTCTGTTGCTGCTGCTGCTGCACCATCGTCACCGCCGCCTTGCTCACTTGGATTGGACTGCTGGACGAGAGTTGATGAGGACTCTTTTCGGACAGGGCGTCCATGGACTCAATGCCGCTGTCCTCGCCGCCGCCATTGTTTCCGTGACCGGGTGTCCCACTTCCATTGCTGGCGGGTGAGTTGCGCAACGTGCTGGGCAACGCAGCCGGCGATGAGGTAGAGGTGGTGATTATGGATGCGGAGGAGGCCGTTGATACGGAGGATAAGGTCGACAGGGTGGCGGAAGAGGAGTTCACTGTGGCCACCACCACGTTATTGACCGTGGTCATCGGTGGCATGGCCACTGGCAACTTTCTATCACAGATCAGCTGAGTTGTTTGCGTAGTGGGCGTCGACGATGTCGCTAGTGTTGCTGTGGCTGCTGCTGCTACGGCTACTGGGGATGGGTTTATGCTAGGAGCCTGCTCTGCCGTGACCTGCGGTGTGACCTTTGTTATCTCCACACGCTTCAGGGTCGTCGCACTGGGCAACATGGTTACGGCCGCCGCCAGTTGTCGCTGCTGTTGCTGCTGCTGTTGTTGCTGCTGCTGTTGCTGCTGTTGTTGCTGCTGCTGTTGTTGCTTCTGCAGCTGCAGCTGTTGCACGGCTGTGATGTATGGCGGCGGCTTATGGTTTTTTGTCATCGGCTTGCCACCCACAATGGGTGTTATGGTGGCGGCAGTCTTAATCGGATTCTTTATCGTCAACAGCCGATTGTTGTTATTCCCGCTGTTCACATTGTTGTTGTTATTGTTGCTGTTGATGGCACTTAGTGTAATGCTGCTGGGCAACGAGGTGGCTATCTTGCTCAGCTGCTGCTGCTGCAGGGTGGTGGACGTAGGCGTTGTTCCTGTGTTGGTGGAACCCACTATCAGCTGTGGATCACTGAGGGATTGGGCCTGCGCTTGAGCCTGGGCCTTGTGCGCCTCCACAATGGCACTGATCGTTAGACCATTCTTGCCCGCCACAATGGTGGTGGTCTTTGTGGTTGTGGCTACTCCGGCTTGCAGTTGTTGTGGCAATTGTGGTGGCGCCACTGTCGCCGTCGTCTTCTGGATCAGTATGGGCAATCCGTTGACATGGGGCGGTGGCGTGAGCTTGGCTTGCTTGTTTTCTGCTGGGTCCATAAGCAATTGCTGCGGTGGCTGATCGCTGTAGCTGCGCTTCAGTTGGCGCTCATCAGCACCGGCCTCCTGGTTCTGGACCTTCTTTCGATCCTTTCGCGTGTTCTTGACCACCACATGGTTCTTTCCACGCAAACGGATCTGCAGTGGAGGAACACGTGGTTCATTGGGCCCCGGGACATTTTGCTGCTGCTGTTGTTGTTGTTGAAAGTTGCTATAGACCGGATGGTGTTGTTGTTGTTGCTGTTGAAGCGGCTGCTGCTGTTGTGGCTGTTGTTGCTGGAGCGGAGTAGGTTGTTGCTGTTGCTGAAGCTGAGAAGGTTGTTGCTGCTGCTGATGTTGCTGTTGGGTTATCTGCATTTGAGTTTGCTGCATTTGTGGCTGCTGCTGCTGCTGTTGTGGTTGTTGTTGTGTCGGCAGAGCCAACAGTTGCGTCTGCATGGGCAACTGTTGCATGTGATTATTCACCACAATGGTCTGCTGCTGCTGTGGCTGCTGGTTGATAATAATCTGTCCCTCGTAGCCGGCTCCCGCTGCCGGCGTAGTCTCCACCTTCTCCAGTTTCAGTCGCAGCTTTATCTTCTCCTCGGCCGCCTTCGTCTTGGCATTGCCCTTCGCCCGTTCTCTCTTCTGTTTTGGCGCGGCCGTGGGATCCTTGGCTTTGCGCTCCTTGACTCCCTGTTGCAGCTTGCCGCGCAGCAGATTTGGCTTGGCCTTCTTGCTGGGCGCTCCACCTGCATTGGCTGTCACCGATTGGGGCGAGTTCAAACCAATCAACGGCGAACTATTGCTGGATCGTGGCGAATTATCACCCGCACCGAAATTGCTATGGTTCGCCTTCGACACCGGCGTTTTTCTAGCCCTGCTGGTGGCTGATTTGTTCGATGCCAGGGAATCGCGCGATCTTTCTTGATCACTACTTATACCCATGGGATGCTGCTGCGCGGAATTGGAGTCCTCCTCGGAAAACAGATTGCTGGGCAGAACCATATCGTTGGCGGGGTTGAAATTGAAACTGCCTAATCCACTGTGGCTGTTGCGGAATTGCGCCTGGCCAGTTTCCTCTTCAGCCTCAGTCTCGCTATCGTCGCTGGCCATAGGTTCCATATCGCCGGTATGTGGATTAATGATAAATTGCTTCTGGGGAGGTCGCTGTGGCTGCTGCGGATGCTGGACTTGCAATTGGGACTGCTGTTGCTGCTGCTGGCGTTGAACCATCTGCAGCTGTTGTTGTTGCTGCTGCTGCAGTTGCAGTTGTCGCTGCACCTGTTGCTGCTGCTGGCGCTGTTGCATCTGCGGCAATTGCTGCTGCCTCTGATGTTGTTGCATGATCAATTGTTGCTGCAACTGTTGTTGCTGCTGTGGTTGCTGCTGGTAGGGCATTTGCATCATTTGCGGCGTCTGCTGTTGAGGCTGCAACGGCGCCTGTTGTTGTTGCTGCTGCTGCTGTTCCAGTGGCGCTTCTTGCAACGTGTTGAGAGCGTCTCTCATGTCAACCGCCGATAGATTGTCCTCGATCAGATCCAAGTCCAGATCCTTGGCGTCTTGCAGCAGAGATTCTAGCTCGTTCTTATCTTCCAAACTGAGTGTGGAGTCCAGATCACAGTTCAAAGTGGGCAACAGGGCGTCCAAATCGTTTGTGGTCAGGGCATCGAGCACGGAAAGCGATATTAAAGAATCGACCTGACCAGGAGCCTGACCTGCAACCTGTGGCTGTTGAACCTGACTTTGTTGTTGCTGCGTCGGCAGCGCAGGAGGCGGCAACTGTTGCTGTTGTGGCTGCTGCTGCTGCTGTTGCGGCTGTCCCGGCAGGCTGACTTGCTGCTGCTGTTGCTGAAGATTGTACTGCATCTGGTAACGCGTGAATTCCTGAAAACTACTCTTGGTGGCCGAGTCCATCGGCTTATTGATCCCGGCCAGCGGCCAGCGAGAGTTGGCTGCCGCCTGATTGTAATCTGGTGGTGGAGCTGCAGGTACGTGTTGATTGGCTGGCATGATTTGTACAGCCATTTCGCTGGGAGCAGTAGGTCCAGGTGTTGCCGCAGGCGACACCATCTGCGGCTGCTGCTGCGCCTGATGATTGGACATCAGCGGACTGTGCATCGAATGGTGACTGGAGGCGGGCGAGAGGGCGGGTCCAAGGGGCGAGGCTCCGCTCATGAATTGCTGTTGGGGTGACGCTTGCGGCATGGACAGGCCCATGAGCCGCTGCTGTTGCTGTTGCGGATGAGGCGGCGGAGGAGCCAGCGGCAGTCCGCCGGGTCTCAGTTGATGTCTTATCTGTTGCTGTTGCATGGGACTCATGCCCATGTTGTTGAAGCAATCTGTTAGAAGGGAAATATACAGGTTAGAAAAAAGTCTATGCCTATGCACGCCTTAATAACTTTGATGGTCATCAAAAAGGCATGTGACATCAAGTCGTAAAGGCATTAAAGTGACGCTTACCGGGCGCAGGCTGATACTGTTGCTGTGGTTGCTGCTGGCCCTGTAATTGCTGCTGCGGTTGCATGAATCGCATCTGCTGTTGGCGCTGAAGTTGCTGCTGTCGCAGGGCCACAGCCTGTGGCGACATTTGCTGATGTTGCTGTTGAAAGCGAATTGGTGGTCCTTGCTGCTGTTGTTGTGGTTGCTGCTGCTGACCCTGCTGCTGTTGCTGAGTATACAAAAGATTGCCATTGCCGCTGGGACTGAGCATGGCCTGCTGATGTTGTTGTTGCTGCTGCTGCAGATTCCGCATCACCACGGGCGGCGGGCAGGGAGGAGCCGCCGCCTGGGGCGTTGTGGGTGAGGAAGGCACCACCGGACTCAGTACGTCACCCATGAGAAAATCGCTGGGCGTCGCAGGACCGGAGGATCGCATAGGGGAGTTCATCATCTGCGCTCCACTGGGGCTCATTCCAATCAGCGGCGACTGCTGCTGCTGCTGTTGGGGCGACTTGAGCTGGTTCGGATTCGACATGCCATTGCCGTCGTTCTGCAGCAGATTCACAAGCAGCGGCGACGATATGGCAATGTTGTTGCTGCCCGTCGACGTCGCCGTAGGCAGCGGCGGATGCCCAAGCGGATGGTTCAGCTGGCTGGGTGCCGTCACAATGGCTGGCTTGGCACTAGCGCCCGCTATGGCAATGGGTGAACTGACGCTGCTGGCCGTGGCAGCACCCAAACCCGGATATGGCGGCGGTGGTGGCTGGATGAACTGAGATTTGCTGCCGGGCGGCGTTGGTGCAGCTGGCGTTGGCGTTGTGGGTGTCAGCTCGCCATTCTGAGGTGCCTGCTGCGTTTGCGTCTTCAGCACCTTTAGTGTTACATTTGGCGGAGGAGGTGGCGGTAGGGGCGGACCCAGGCCGCCCGCCTCTCGACCTTGCAGCACTCTCGCCTGACGCATGCTCTCGAAGGGAAAGTCCCGCGTGGTGGAGGGAGATGGTAGCAGCAACGGCACCTTGCCCTCCATGGGGCACACGGTATTGGGGGATTTGAAGACGGCGGGTGTCACGGCCACCTGCTGCTGCTGCTGTTGTTGCTGCTGCTGCGTGGTCTGGAGGGGCATCTTCTGAAGTCCAAGGCCCGCCGCCGCCGCTCTTCTTTGCTGGAGTGAGATTGCATCGTTTTGGGGCTGTTGCAGGATTCTCTGCTGCTGCTGTTGCATAAAGGCGGAAGCCGCCTTGCTCGTACTGGGGCCATCGAATCCCGTGGCCAGCAGACCACTTTTGTTGCCGGAAAGCGAGCCAGCCGCCTCAAGTGTCTCGTTTACATTATCTACGAGAAGGGATTACCCAGGTTAATTGTTTGTTTAGAGGGCATTTGCTAATACTACTCACCCTTGGTTATCTTAATATCTTGTCCACCAACTTTTAAATTTATCACAGAATCGCCCTCGAATTGCACGGACTGAATGTTGAGGGCGCGCAGCTCCGGATTTCCATCGTTGGCCAGCTGGCGCAGCCGTTGTGCTGCGTCCCAGGGTAGCGAGACCAATATCCGCACCAGTGACGGTTCAAGCTGCTGCAAAGTGGCACACATGTGAGACATTTTGCAAATTTACAACATTTAATTAACATTTAAGGAGCCGTATAGGAAGAGAAAGAAGAAGAGGGACAGTGAAATTGCTGGCGATGGCCAGTATTTGTTATCGATATCTATCCAGCGAGGGTTTGCAGCCCTGGTTCACGACACGCAAACATATAAACACCAAATTTATGCGAAAACACAATTCTGAACCTTATTTATAAGTTTCATTTACCTTCCATAGCTCTGTCATGCTTGAATGTATTTATTTCTTATATATTTACTATATTATTTGCATTTCTCGTTTTATTTTTGACCCTGCGGTCTCTGGTGCAAGAGAGGGATGGCCATAGTGCACTCATTGGAAATTCCAACAACAATTTGTTTCGACAACAGTCCCCAAAGATAATATGCTTGAATTGAGTAACCCAAAAGACATTTCAGCTGACTGCATTTTCCACGCGCGGCGGCCCAAAAGGGGGCGGGGCAGCTGGTGCCCACAGGTTGCATTTTCTCATGCGTGCGTGCGTTTTCCATTTCTCTCTGCGGAACGTGTTATCGATACCCCGACTTCGTCGCCATTTTTCTTCTTGGCCTCTTGGAAGGCGGTGCGCTGGTGTGTGTGTGTGTGCGTGAGCTGGGTGGGCAAGTGTGTGTGGCAGAGGGAAAAGGTAACCAAAATACTTGCTTGGAACTAAGGCAGGGGGTAAAAAGGGGGCGGCTGATTAATAAAATAAAAAAAGGGGGGAAACAGAAAGAGATAAAAAAAAAAAACACGGGAAATGCGAGATTCTACACACTTAAAACCAACCAATTAGTTCGCCCTTTTCGCCGCCTATTGTTTTTGTTTTTATCCCCGTCTCTGAGTGCGTGGGTGACGCAAGTGTAAAATGAGCAAAAGGCAAAAACAGACAAAAAAGAAAAAAGAGAAAAGGGGGGAAGAAGCCCACTTGAAGTGCAATAATCGCAAATCAGCTGTTCTGTTGCGCTCGCTTAAAAAGCGAAACACGATAAACTCAACTCACCTGTTTAAGTGGCATATCATCACACGACAATCGCACGCGTCGTAGGTTTAATTGGTAGAACGCTGCTCAATTCTCGCATTTAGCTTTCGATTGACCGCCGTGGCGTCCTTTGGATTGGAATTGTTGAACCAATTGCATTTTAGGCATAACACTCGATGGCTTCGGTTTATTGTCTTTCGATGTATTCCGCATTCAGTTTTTAACCTCTGCGACTTGGTTTTTGGGCATTTTCCACTATTATTTTTTTTCTTCTCCCCTTTGCTTATGACTTTTTTTTTAGTAGTAGCCTCACCAACACACACACACATGCACTGCAACACACACACTCACACACGTGCGGGGCGCGGATACGGATTTTCCTGCGTCACTTTTCAAGCGCTTTTCCTGCTGGGAATCTTGCCTGCCCGCTTTTCAATTACTGTTTAGGGCAAACTGTATGCATTTGGGCCCCCACTGTTCTCCATTTCACATTTGCTGGCCAAATAGTAATGCCTGTTTAGCGGAACTCGAAAATTTTCACGCATTCGGGCAACCGATTTTCGGGGGCTTAATTTCACACGGTTCGATTGTGTGCGGGCACTCGATAAACGCACTGATTGCTGTCGAAAGATTCGCGCTTGCTTTTCAGACGTCAATTGGCGTTGCAACGAGGCGTTTATCCTGTTTATTTTGTACAAAAAACTTCGTAATTATTAAATTTCCACGAACAATAACAAGCACACAGTGGTAGCCATTTTTATTTTCCAGCCGGTGTTGCCAGAAGATCGAGGGCCGAAATTCCCTAAATTTTCCGGCATATTTGTGGTTTTCAGGGCTGCGAAGTAAGTTGCATTGGAAATTTTGCTCAAGCAGGGTTGTCAATTGCTTGGCAATCTGAATTTAAATTAAATAATGCCACAGTGTAATATATATACAAATGATTAAGATTATTTTAAGATCGTATCTTATTTTCGAGCATGTGAAGTAAACATAAATGTTAAGTAAACATCTTTTAAAAAGGTTCAATATATAATTTCCATTTATGAATATCTATCCTGCTTAGAACTGCAGATTACAGCTGAGCTCATAGCATTAAGATTCAAAATTAAAGAAAGGTTTTACTTAAAATATTGTGTCTTAGGTCTGCGGATTAAGCAGAAAAGAAGAATTATGCAAGAAATTATGCAATCATATTGGCTAAGTACCGTGTTAAATTTTAATATAATTTTTTAATTTTCATGTAACTAATCGATAGTTTTGCGAATACTGCCACCCTCACTGAACGAACGATAGTATTGAATAGAACTTGAGTTAGGTTCCATCTCTATCTCTGATTCTGAAATTGCAAATGTGAGTACATAACAAGGTTTTTCTTTAATAAAACAAGTTTCAAGGGTTTTTGGACTACAAATAAAGTAATTGTATACCACATTGGCAGACCATATTAAGTTCATAAGTTGCTGGGGAGAATTAAGTAGTTGCTATGCGTTTTATGACAGCTGCCTTTGAGCACCTTACGTAACTACCGAGCAATATAATTGATTTTTGTGATTTTTCATCCTTTTCAGCATTATGGCCAACACTCCAGCCACCTCCTCTGCCGGACCCGTGCTCCGTGGTCTCCACAACGCCACCATCAAGCGTAACCTGGCCATTTCCCTGGGACTGACCGCTCTGGTGACCGTCGCCTACAAAATTCTGGTCAACGATCCCAAGAAGGCCGCGTACGCCGACTTCTACTCGTAAATATAGCTTACATATGCCATATGAGCCATCCATTGATCTGGTTTATCCCTTATCGCTGCAGGAAGTACGATGCCAACAAGTCCTTCGAGCGCATGAAGGCCGCCGGTCGTTTCCAGTCCTGCTAGGCTATGTTATCCGGAACACAAGTAGTCTAAGTCAAAAGATGTTGTAGAGCAAGAGTTGCGCTTCTGTATTGAAAACTAAATAGATTTCAGTCTACGTATGTGCACGAAGGCCTTTTAATTTGGATCTATGTTGTATTGCTATCAAGAGTTGGAGTGATTAACAAAATGTGAAGACAAATTATGATTATATTCTTTATTATTTACTCGTATTTACAAACTTAGCCAAGTAATGCACAAAACAAACACACAAAACTATAAGGCCGCACACCGACTGCGGTCACGGAACACATCTAAAACCTAATGGCAAAGTCCTTGTAGTCCAGTCGGCTGAGGTTGCCCTGGTTCCGGACCTCACAGCGATCGATTTGGCAGCCGGGAGAGCCCTCAGTGGACAGCCAGGTGATCCTAAGAGGAGATTTCATCGGGAATATGAGCGTGGAAAGTGTAAATTATACGGGGTTACCCACATCTTGTCCACCTCCTCCTTGGGCCCCTGCATCTTGCCCACAATGGTGCCCTGTTTGCTGTTCTTCACCCAGCCAGTAATTCCCGTCTTGGTGCAGCGATCGCGGGTGTCTTTCGTGAGATTCAGGCCTGCCGGTTGAAAAAGCAGAGGTATTTGTTTTATATAGTCTAGCGCATGTGGAATGGGGCGTGAAACAAAGCCAAGGACAGTTTGGGGCCCCAAAAGTAACTAGCTACTGAAAGTTTATTTTTAGGCAACCAACTGAATGAGCTGTGTTATGCCTGGCCCTCGATTCCCGATTCCTATTGCCCTTGAGATCGCACCTTGTACATGTCCATAGACCTCAAAGTCCAGCGTCACCAGCAGTCGGATATCCGGAATGCCCATCTCGATCGACTTCGCACTTTACCAAATGCGCACGTTGGTTATGTAAATTTGGCAGCAAACTGCTCGATTTTTAAGATTTGCCTGATTTCAGCACTTTACTCGCACTTGAAATTGGTTTATTTTCTACAAAAACTGGAATCCCCAATTAAGCATATATATTTTTTGAAAAATATTTTACTCGGAGCGATTTTTTTCCGCCGCGATCGCTAGCTTGATTTTCAGCAAACCGTCGCAAATTTAAAACTAAAATGCCAAGTAGCATATCAATTGGTTTCTATTTTGCGTTTTCGATTTTGTATTTGCGTATTTATTTTAGCCGCACATTGCATTCTGCCTCTTTCTATATGTTTTTGTTGTTATTCTAGAGAAGAAAATACAAATACAATTTGGGAATCTTTTGGGACGGTCACAGATAGTTGATTCTGGTGGTCAGTATCTGAAATTTGGGTGCGCTACAGGGGTTATTCGAGAAAGATCTTAATTAAGTGGTATGGAAAAAGTTCTAGAATCTGAAAAAAATCAATATCTATAATATCTATAATCTGTATATAGCATCAAAATCGTAGGATTCGGTTCCTTATTAGACATATGTATGACTGCATATTGTTCAATTTGGCAATAAAATGGTGCATTTTCGTCGCGTAAAGAAAACTTATTGATCCGAAACAATGCACAGACTTTGTTTCTGGGACCCCGTCGATTTCGCTTTCTAATGCACCTATATAATGCACCTATGAGAAATGTGAGGAATGACAAGTTCATAGCAGGCGCATAAGATGGGCCCTGAGACTTTTATAAGACCAGACGACAAGTGCAGTGCTTTGTATTCTTCTTTAAAGAAAGGGAAATTTATCTATGCAATGAAGAATAGTACGTAAACTACGATGTATTTAAACGAATATTGTCCTTGTATAGGAATTCGTCCTCGTAGATAAGGAAAGCGGAAAACACAACCCAGAATATGAAAATTAGGGGCTATAAATAAGTTTGAACACATTAAGATAGAATGCTATAGTCGAGTTCCTCAACTATCAGATACCCGTTACTCATCTAGTGGAAGTGCAAACCAGAAATTTCAACATTTCCTGGAATACCGGTAGAAATTGGGGAAAAGTAATAAAATGAAAAAAAAACTTAACAATTTTTTAAAAGTGTGGGCGTGAGAGCTTTATGCGATTTGTGGGCGTTAGAGTGGCCGTGGCAACATTTGGAAACAAACTTGCGCTGCGTCATTGTCTCTGAAGCTGCATGCTTAATCTCAAGATTCTAGCTTTTGTAGTTCTTGAATAGGATAGGAATAAGATACAGAAAAATTACAAAAAAAATTAAAAAAATAAATTTTTAAATTTGAATGCAGATGTTTAGAGAATTGTGCCAGAAAGATTTAGAGGTATGCCACTTCAAAATCCGATTAAGATAAGTTGAGTTATGATGTTTAGAACTTCAGCTTTATGACGTTTTTTTACATTTTTTGAGTTTCTACAACATCATACATCAGAAAAATTACAAAAAAATCTTAAAAAAATTAATTTCTAAATTTGAATGCAGATGTTTAGAGAATTGCGCCAGAAACATTTAGAGGTATGCCACTCCAAAATCCGATTAAGATAAGTTGAGTTATGGAGTTTAGAACTTCAGCCTTGGGGCATTTTTTATTTTATTGAGTTTCTACAACATCATTCATCAGAAAAATTACAAAAAAATCTTAAAAAAATTAATTTCTAAATTTGAATGCAGATGTTTAGAGAATTGCGCCAGAAACATTTAGAGGTATACCACTCCAAAATCCGATTAAGATAAGTTGAGTTATGGAGTTTAGAACTTCAGCCTTGGGGCATTTCTTAATTTTTTTGAGTTTCTACAACATCATTCATCAGAAAAATTACAAAAAAATCTTAAAAAAATTAATTTCTAAATTTGAATGCAGATGCTTAGAGAATTGCGCCAGAAACATTTAGAGGTATGCCACTCCAAAATCCGATTAAGATAAGTTGAGTTATGGAGTTTAGAACTTCAGCTTTATGACTTATTTTGCATTTTTTGAGTTTCTACAACATCATTCATCAGAAAAATTACAAAAAAATCTTAAAAAAATTAATTTCTAAATTTGAATGCAGATGTTTAGAGAATTGCGACAGAAACATTTAGAGGTATGCCACTCCAAAATCCGATTAAGATAAGTTGAGTTATGGAGTGTAGAACTTCAGACTTGGGATATTTTTTAATTTGTACATCAGGGAAATTTCTTCGAAATCTACGTAATAGTAAACTCAAGATTAAAAGGGCTTACACAGCCTAACCAGCAATCGTTTTTAAAATTATTGAGAAACAACAGTTCTTGGAATGCAAACAAAATAATTGTTGATTTTGCATATTTTAAATGCTTATGATTAGTGGAAGAACGAGTATAAATATGGTTCGAATGCTCAGCTAATTATCAGTTTCAAGTTTGAAAGCCAAGCCTGCAATATGAATCCTGCAATTTACTTGAGGTAAGTGAAAGGATTTCCCTTAAAATGGTATCTACATTTAAATATAATAATCTTTTTTTAAGCTGCCTTGTGGTTTTCTCCCTACTTTTGCTGGGGAAAGTAAATGCTGAAGACGACGATGAATTTCGTACAGAAAAGCAGCGCTTACTTCGCGTGTATGGTGATTCTTCGGTTGATGAAGCCACCAGATACAGGAACGTCGACGACCTGGTCAAATTCTACGACAAGTACTCCACTCTCCTTCCTTGGAAACCGGATTTAACACAACGGGCCCAGGATCTCTTGAGGCGGTACAAGGAGGAAACCGCTCGTGCGGTTTTGGTGGATGGTGCTCCGGCTCAAGGCGGATTCTGGCTGCCCCTGGTGAAGCTACTCATTGTCCAGCTGGGCGTTGAAATTGCCTCCGAAGGATTCAAGCGAGCTATTGAATCTTAATCATTCATTGTGAATCAAATTAAATTGGAAGTTTATTCAATATCGTGTCAAAATATGTAAATAAACCTTGAGCATTTCAAGTTTTGTTTGTCCCTTCTTTTTAAAATTTTCTATTTTAAAAAGAAATGGCCTTCAAGCTCTTAATAAAGTTAATAATACGCCCAGCCGCCCTGACAAATATTCAAACTTCCCATTTTGGTTTGGTTATATATTTTATATGTAGTATTTACAAATTAATTTATTTGTTACTTGCGATATATGAAAATACCAATGTACAATGTTTATACTCGTAGTTGAATCGTTATCACTTAGCTAAATGTGAGTGGGTGAGGTTGCCTTCGTCACCAGGTTAAGGTTTGCAAAGCAAACCTGCTGTGGAAAATGCATACATACTTAAAGTCTAGATACGTCGATCCTTAAAATTCTGTACAGTTTGGGATTTGCGATCGGGATAGAGACTACATCTATGGGTAATGCTAAACAACTGACTCTTAAGTAAGCTCGATACGATTAAGCATAGGCGATTACAACTAGTTTACCAGGATGCCAGGAATCCGGATCCCTAAACGATCTGCACGGCGGCATGTGGCTTCTCGATGAGGCTGCTCTGCGCCTCCTTGTCCTTCTCCGCATTCCGGCCCAGCGAGACGTGCTCCGGCTTCAGATAGTAATGCGGCGGCGGAGGCTGCGATGTGGCCTGCTGGCCGGCCTTCTTCCGGCGCTCGCGGAGGAAGTGCAGCCGCACATAGTTGATGGGTATATCGACGCTATCGGCGCCCACGCCCTCTGCGTCGATAAACACGCCGCGCACCAGGATGGAGTTGGCGCACTTGAGGGCAGCGAGGAGCAGGAACGGCACGATGTGAGTCAGCCAGAAGCTCAGCAGCTTGTTATCTGAAGGATACCGCAATAATAGTAAGAATAAGCTTAAAGAGATGAGCCTAATATATTTCCCACCTGGATACAGATACACATCCAGCAGATTCCAGATACCGCGCCAGGCATTCACAGCCCCAAAGAAAGTCATCAGATAGTAAATGTCGCATATGATCAGCTTGAGGATTCCGCTGATCCGACGACAGACGTACCGCATCAGTGGATGAATGAGGAACGTCACAAAAACCGTCAGATATCCAATGAGCTATACAAAGAAAAGGGACTTCAAGTACTGGTTATGGAAAGGCACTAACAGCGATCCCTACCAGCGAGCCCCAGGCCGACTTGGCCTTGTCCGCCGGGAACAGCAGCAGGTCAAAGATTCCCCAGACTCCGCGCCAGGCGATGACCACCAGGGTGCCGATCACAAAGACCGAGAAGAGGGTGTCCAAAATGTATAGGCCCGGTTGATGAAACCCCTGAAGAGTGCCAAAGTTAGAAAGCCCCAACTATTATTTTGCACTTGGGCATACAACTTACGGGTATTTTGAACATGGTGTCCACCTCGAAGTAGTCGCTCTTGTGATCCATGGTCACAGTGTAGGGAGCTGCACCAAGGTTCCTCAGTGTCCGTGTGGCCACCAGGAAGATGAGTGCGATGCCCGTCACCACGGACACAATGATCAAGGAGTCCACACTGGTCAGCCAGTCGCAGAGCAGCCAGGCACCCCGCCACATATTCACGCACACGATGCCGAATACGGCCGTATAGAGTCGCGATACGGCGTAGTATGTGAGCCGCCTCCGGTCCGGATGGATGTGCTCCTTGAAGAAGTTCTGTGTGACTGTGAAGAAGAAGTGCCCCAGTCCGCCGATCAGAAAGCTGGCCATCGCGGACAGCGGCAAACTTTCGGGAAATAGATAGACGAACATCAGCTCCCAGGTGCCACGCCAGTAGGCGATCACACAGGGAGCCACCACCAGGCAGGACAGCATCATGTCCAGCAGCTCGAGCAGAAGCTCATGGAGATCCCGGCGCGGCGTCTCCGCCTCCAAGCGCTTCTCGCAGGCGGGTGAGTGTGTGGCATGTGCGTGTGCTGGTGGCATGTGCACTGGATGGAGGTGCTGCAGGAGCTGCTGATCCGACACGGATACCGATCCATGGCAATGAGATTTCTGCGGCCTGCTGGCCGCCAAACTGCCCTTGTCGGTGGGCAACATCGCGGTTTTAGATTTTGCGGGCTTTTTAAGGTCTCCTCCACCTCCTCTGCCTACCTACTCCTCTGTTAATTCCCGCCAATTATGGGCAATTATCACTCCGGATATTTTGGCTGGGAGCGCTCCTGCTCGCTGCTCGTCGGCGGCTCGGATGTTTTTGAAATGGTCAGGTAACTAAATGCATTCCGCAACCGGTGTGCTCTGCAACCGTCACCGCCGCTGCATCGCCGCTGTGGTGATAATAATCTGGCACTGATAATTAAATCGTCTATCTGCGAACCCCTCTCGATCTCTCCAGCGTCTGGCCGCAGTTGCATAATCCGCACTAGCATTCGCATCCACTGTCACATCCACATCCACATCCACGTCGAGGTTGGCGTTCGCCGTCTGGAATCTAGGCGAGTTATATGTATTAAAGAACAATCATCAAGCCCGGCTCCTTATCACTAATTCCACCGACTTAGATGCCGGCTAGAGTCCTAATAAGTGCTTTATAGTCTTTTTTTTAGTTTATAGACCAAGCAGCTGCAGTGATTGTGGGCTTATCAAAATCCAACGCTTTCCAGTATTCACCGACATCACCAAGTGGACCTTAGGCGCACTACATGTGTCTAAGTTTTGGCATTAAGGCAGGCTTACTATGCAATCGAACAGATAGCCGCTTTGATTTACGAAGCTGCGCACATTAATTGAAACCTTAATTAGTTAGTCTGTTTGATTTGCGGGACATTGACATTGACACTGGGAAACCGAATGTGTGCAGCTTAGATTTTAGTTTATAATACACTTTACGCACTACAAACACCTGGAGAAAACTTTCCCTGTGACTCATAGTCATCATGGGAATCCTTTATGATGGCGGCCTTATATGGGTGGTAAAGTCAAGCCCATCGCAACAGCGAGATATGAAATGCCAGCACACTTGTTTGTTTGCCCATGTCAGATGTCCCAGATTTTATGGAGATCACCTGAGAGAGCCGGGCTCTTTTACTGATAGCTCAACGTCAATGTGACAATTGTGCGTTGAGTGGCCTCTCCACGCGGCACTTAAGTCGCCCCCTCGGACTTATCTCAAGTGACTTAATAGATCCAATTTAGTGGCTTTGATTAAACGCGAAATGCCAGCGAAAGTGATGTCCACCACACGACAGGGCATCGAAAGTGTCGTGAGGAGTCTTGAACTTGTGCCACTTGAACTTGCCACTTGATGTGGGCAGGTCAGGGCTTCGAATAATCGTGACTCTCAAATAGATTACACATTCGCTGAACTACGCGGTTTATTCCCTTTACAAGTACCCAAAGAGCAATCAAATTAAAATTTATCAAATAATTTTAAATATCAAGGCCCATGTAAATTCTTGTAAAAAGTGCAAAAGAAATGACGTCGCTTAAGTAAAAGTAATTTAATATATTATATAGTACATTGAAAAGTTGCTATATCTTTTTCTAAATGGTTCTTCTTTGTACGTTTTCTAAAAATAAGTGCTCTTTAATGAATCCTACACAGATGCCATTTATAGTCTTTTGAGTATTCAACAATTATGCACTGGCAGTGACTAATTAGCAAAAGTCCGGCTCGCTGGCCCCTTGAAATTAGTGCAGGATGTTTGTGATTTTCGTGTTTTGCTTGCCGATTCGTCTGCGACGGCAACGCGGCGTATGCGCGATAATTAAACACACGACTTGCATGGGGCCGCCGTCGAAGGTCCAAAAGCGGGATTTTCGTCGGATCCACTGAGGCTGCTGCTGCCATTGCTGGCTGTTTGGGTCAAGCTCATTCGCATTTAAATCTGCTGGCTAAATGGACGACCCACTGGGCGACTCATTGCGCCCAGCAAGACTTCCTCGTTTTGGGGGTTTCAGAGATTGATGGAGGGATGCTTGTAAATTGAGATCAGGGATCTGTCGGAATCGGGGAATCGGGGAATTGGGGAATTCGGCAATTGGGGAATCGAGGGGGCTTGGGAATTTTCAAGTTCAAACTCCCCAAGTGGGCCAAGTGACGTGCCGATGCGATGCAAATGCACATTGTACTCCAATTATGCGAGATAATTGACAAAGAACGGGTGACAATTCAAATGCAAAATTGGACGCTGCGACTGATTCTTAATTTTCGCAAGGTTCTTGACAAGTCCCAGCCCCCAAGTTACGACTATAATTAGTTTTGCCAACCCAAACGAGCTGCAAATATTACCCGAGCAATATCTGTTTCTGTGCAAAGATATATTATGTAGATAACTAGATAAGGTCCGCCAAGCTATCAAATCCCACGGAATGCCGCGTTTTATTTGGATATCGTTTAGTGTTTATGATCTTTTATGATAATTTGCCTTTGACTAATTCGAAGCGTTTTCAGGTGCGATAATGTCCAGACTACATCTCGCCTTTTGTTCAGTATTTGCTCTACACATTATCAGCTCCTAAGTGCTCTTTTTATTTATGCTGTTTTTCACAAGTCGAATAATCGCAGCTGATCGAGCTAATTTATAAGTTTGACGGCCACACAATTACTTGGAGATTGAACAAACATTTATGTATATTTAAGCGGTTTTTTTCGTAACACTACAAGCTTACACTTAGAATCAAATACTTTAAAGTCAAATAGTTCTAGAGTGCAGTATTTCTCAATTATTACGATTAGATATGCTAATCAAACCAAAAAAATAATCTTTGTTTATCGGTTATTTCCTATCAGCTATCGTTTTCTAAAGACTTGCAGTCTAGTTTGAAAATAAATACAAGTAGAGTCAGTATAAAAAAAAGATCTCATAAATTCACTCGTTTTCTTTTCGGATTCCCTTATTTCAAACTGAAATCGATTTCTAGTCAAACTTCAAACTATTTTGCGCAATATTACGAAATTTAACGATTAGATTCGAAGTGACTTACATCGGAATGGTTGTTTCTTATCAGTTATCGA